ATGTGGCGCATGATGATATCGTACGGCAGCAAACCTGGTTACCAACCGTGACCACTAATGCCTCAGAATTCCTTCTCGGAAGAAAAAAACTTCCACGTGATCGTTTCCAGGGAGGTGTCCGAACGCCTCGGACTCGGTTGAATGCGAGGCATGCGAGAGTCCGACAGTATCGATCTCAGTACTCGCATTTTCCCTCACAAGACATAAGGGATCTGTTCTTTTGGAAGAAGTTATTGAACACCTCTATTGATCCAGAAATCTCTCTTACCGTCATTCCTTTTGCTACTATTCGATATCTCAAACTGGCTTGTCATAATGCTGTTTGCAACGGAAGTAAGGTACGAGACGATTGACCGGCTGTCATCTTCTGCACGTTCATTGGCTCCTTTGAAGACCTGAGAACACCCTCGGAGTGGGGCCGACATATACGCCTACGACGCGACTATGGGCGCTGGAGAAGCAGCCGCGTCTACCGGGTTTTCGTCTCTATTGTTACTTACCATCCTCTCCTGCCGCTGTCTGTACTGCTGCGTCTACCGTCTTGACTATCTTCACTCTTTGCAACAAAATTGAGTTCTAGCCTTCTCTATTTGGCTATCCTCGGCGTCAGTGGCTTCTGTTCCCCCCCTGACCACATCTATAGCCAGGCAGTCTTTGCTGCCGCCCCTTGGGCCCCTTTCTTTGTCCGGTACTGATCTTGAGCAAAGCCAGAAAATAGAGTATTCTTTCCAGACGAACATGGTCATGCTACGACCCCATGGCCATCCGAAACTTCGTTATCCATTCGATTTTAAATTTCGCTGCCCAAACATCTATGCACTTTGTCGACCTACATGATTATCCGTCGAGTGATTCGAACCCCTCGAGCCGGTCACGTCCCTCTAGTCTCGATGCTATCAGCTACCGAGGTCTCTGCCACTGACGACGTGGTTTCATTTACGATACAAGCTGTAGGGAGTGGAGTTCAAGCCGCAAGGACTTTGGAGCTCTATGACATGGGCTAGCAGATTGTCGTCGTTGGTCTCTTCATCCAGATCGTTCCGTTTGGCTGCTTCGTTGTTACGACCATTCTATTCTACCGTCGAGTCAACAAACACCCAATAGCCGTGGCGATCGGATCGAAGGTTGCTTGGTGAAGTTGCCTCTGGGGTTTCTGCACTGCCAGTCTCGTCAATCTTGGTACCAAAATATCTGCCGCTTCATTGGATACCTACGAAGAAACAGCGATTCCCTTGTTTCCCGCGAAGTCTTCCTCTACATCCTCGGTTCGGCTCCCATTGCGTCAATATGCTGGTCTTCTTCATTCGGTTTGTTGAGGACCTTAAGAGAAGGTTTCCAAATACGAAAGAGAATATATAGGGCGCGTAGATGGCTCCTCTGTGCTGAGAAACTCTCCCAAGAGACAATACCTCTTGGTCGGAGTGGCCATTTGTTTTTGTTGTCGAACATCCAGGTCACTATGGTACAACCATTGTAACACGGAGCAAACCCATTTACGACGGTATGCCGGCAGTAAACAGCAATTTTTCTGCATTTTCACTTCTAAGGCCACGAATTCAAATTGAGGATTGTCACAGACAAATATCGGTGTTTTCGATTGCTGGGTCTCTGATCCACGACCTATGTTCATCGTCCAGCAGCTCATACGTCTTTGTATAAAGGCTGCTAGCCCAAACATCTAGCCACCATTGGCTGCGTAGCTGCCGAAGAAGACTGCAGAAATATAAGAAAATGACCAAGGCCTTCTGCCTAGATTCCCGCAAAAGTGGGAGAAAGTCTTCAGCAACCATGGCAATCCAAATGAAAACATCGATGATGTCTTGTGGTTCCGAGCTTTCGTAGAAAACGCCGTATGATTTGTAGAGCTCATTGATTGCATGGTTGTATATCGCCAGTAACCCGTCGTCGCTCTCCGAAGCGTTAATATTGGCTTCCAGGTCCCCAAGATGGGTGTGGTGACACGGAGCTTCTCTGAACTGGAAATGCGCGACTGTTCGACTAATGATAGGCGAAATCAGGGGGTTTGTATTCGGCTCGCCAACTAGGTACCTTGTCCCACAGAACAATACGATCCAGTCTGGAGATTGTTCTGCACTGGCCAAAGGCGCATCATGCAGATACTGAGAGTTGGCTAGCACTAGTTGGCCATCGACAAGTCAGCAAGCAAGGTCTACGATAGATGGGGATATCTTACCGATATAGATGGTCAAGACTGAGAAGATAAATAGCGGTGCCTTGTTCTCGTCTTGGACATGTTGCATTAAGCTGACGGCTGTCCGCGAGGACATTTCGTGATGGGCCATGGATTTCTCCAGCAAGCTGTCTTTCCTTTCTGGGTTCAAATGTGCTATGTGAAGTGCCGACAGGGAGAGAATACTGCGCATAACGTAGTCGCATTCAAGGCCCAGCTTGACAACATTTATGCGCCAAAACTCGCGTAAGAGAGGGTTTTCTGAAAGAGTGTGGGCGGTGAAGTTGCAATAATGGTGTAACAGCTCGAGATCGAGGAAGTTCAAATCGCCTGCATGCTGAGAGAGAGACAGCATGGGGTCCAACGATGGGGACGCCAGAAAGCCACAGGCGACGCCATGTTTGATGCAGTTTTTACATGCTGGTCTTTGTTCGTCGCACTAGAGGTAGCATGTTAGCTTTGCTGTACGTGATTTACCAACGTCAACGTAATCATCCCACCGGCCTAGCCGAGTCCAATTACAATGGCACTGGCACTGACGTCTCTAGGCCCATTACCAATGTCTATAGGCCACCTTTCGAGAGCCCAGCTATAACTGTATACATTCCATGAAAAGTTTGGCATGCGCATACCTTGATCTTTCTTGTCTTGCAGGTCTTACAACCAGTTCGAGTCTTTGGATGGGAACGTCTGGACGGGTTCGACTGCATATTCGTACTCGGCATTTGTCCGAGGAGGCCAGCGAATTTGCTTGAAAGATCTCGAGGGCCGAGACGATATGTCGAAGCTCGCAAGATCTAGACCGGCATCTCTGCCGCAGGAAATAACCTCAATGAAGTGGGACAGTCAGGCCCAGTAACTCAAGTATACAGAGGCCTTGTTTGCGCGTATCGTTGATAGATCGAAGAACGGTTAATAGAGAGGGGGGGGCAACAACCTGCACCTGTCCCGCGGAGCCCTTCGTACTCCTGTTCGTATTCGCACTTCTCGGGTGAGGTGGTCTAAGGGGCTGGCTGGGCTCGACAGCCGAGTTCCATTGGACAGCTGGGCGCCACAATGGGCTTGTCCTTGTATTGGATCGCCCGCTGACTCCTGCTGAGTCAGACTGTTACCATGAAGCGAGGATGTTTTCTTCCCCGTTTGGTGATGTTTGTCGAGTCAATGTGGTCCTCGATCTAAGTTGAAAAACACCCTGTACCATGGAACTGGGTTCTAGCGATAAAGGTGTTATTATTATAATACTGGCAGAAAACCGAACACGTTCCGACATACATCATTCTCAAACCCAACTTTCTAAACATCAGGTCAACCAGGCCATGTCTCTTGGTGGTTGCCGTTGCTGGGCAAGCATACCGTCGTCTGAGCGGCCTGAAATTGGCCTTGACATCCGACCACACCACCCCCCAACTGCGCCTGCACACGACTTAGGAGCTTCATTCCTAGAGCTGTGTCATCTTTTTAGACTTGGAGTTCCCCAGATCAGGACAGAGTTTGCTGTCTGATCACGTACAAAAGCTTGGCGCTCACCTATCATGTGCACACGCCTACTGCCAATAATGTTCGCTCCCACTGGCAAAAGTTTCAAATAAAGCGGTGTCATTACCAGTCGAGTGTGAGTACTTCCCTGTCCAAACTTCTCGTCTACTGTGCCTTGCCCGCAACTAGTCATATAAGGGAAGGTGGACGCGAATTCGTCGTCTACATGCACTTAAAAGGACCGTTGATAGGTTGCTACAATTTAGTTTGACATTCGGCTAAACTTGCGAGTCATGGGTGTATTACATGGCCCACGAACTATTTTGTCTTAGTGTACTAGATGAAACCTTGGGTATGACCAACGTTTGATTTGGTCGTTTGATGCATCCGTCGCCAGCTATGCCACAGATCAAAGAGCGGGCCGCATGCAGGGCTGCTTCACAAAGGCGTCTGATGTTCGCCTTTAACCCCTAACTCCCCAATATCAACCTCGTTGAGAACGGTAAGACGAGCATGATGATGGGCACCATGCCCGAGCGGCCATTTACGGATAAACCCTGCGTATTGACTCTGTTCACAAAGCGCACAGGATGGCCTTTCCTATTCAGCGAAGCCTTTTGACCGAATACTTACCCTGAACTCTAGGTTATTTTGCATTGCTTCGCGACTCAATCCAGACCTTTGAAGCCGGAGTGTAGCACTAAATGGGGACCTTGAGCCAAGAGTGCAAGCCGGCCCGATGGTGGGTCGTTTGATCTACCAGGGTAGACTCCTGTACGTTCAGACCGCCCGCCTTACGTCCCAGACTCTACTAGTCACCTCACGACCAGTTGTCTCGCGCCTGTTAGAGACTCCGTCGTTAGTGATAGTGGTTTCCGACGAATTCCGAGCCGTCGGCTCACAGAAATATCCACCTCCCGGAAAACGCTCCGGAGACCCGGCAAACCGGCACCACCAGGCAAGGGCCAGGTAGGTTCAAGCTTGAACAAGCTTCACAGTTCTTTTGTAACATCATCTGAAGACACCGAAATGCCAAGGCAGAAAAAACTCTTCGTGTCAAGCTTAGTACGGGAAGCTTCGGTGATTCCATCACCGTATCATGTGAAGACACGACGATGTAGTGAGGCAAAACTGATGCAGCGCCGTTGGTTAGTCATGATGAATAATGAATCCTATCTTCTTGTCACTTTCAAGGCCAATCATAGATGGTTTTGTCCCCGAGCGATCGATGATCAGATTCGCTTGTCGAGCCCTAATGGAGATTTGCCGGGCGCGGCCCGCTCACGCAATCACTCCATTGATTCAAGATATAGGGACTCGCTCGGAAACCGTGGCGGACGTAGCTCAATTGGGAGATCGTCAGTCTGAAGCGAGCTGAGTTCTGATAAATTTCAATCACGCAGCCTGAAGGTCGTGTGTTCAACCCACGCAGACCGCACTCTTCGCTTTTTGCCGCGTCCGATCCGCATCCAATCATCGTAGCTGCGTGACAGGGCTGCAGGATGACCGAACTAGCTATTGACGGTAGCTAGCTACCTAGAATACTGGGCTAGGTAGAAGAGAACTGAGAGGGGCTGCTTGTCGCCCCTGATCGTGTGTGTTTCATTGTCGTGCGTAGTCTTTGCTCTAAGTTCTGAGGCTATGATTTCATGTTCTTACGGTCGGAGAGGACGTCTTGGTTAGCGTAACCATCCCGATATCAAGGATGTATGGATGCCGTTCATCAACCAACCTACTTCCATGAACCCTGGGCAGGTAAGCCTTGATCAGCTCACTTCATGATCGGAAATAGGCCATACTCAATCGAGGTGGGGAAATAAGTTCAAGCTATATTGCGTGGGAAAGTGAAAACTGGTAGAATTAGTCAAGTCGTAAAATCGTAAAAAGTCGGTGTCTTCGGGATCCGATTGATGAAAATGAGTGTCTCGAAACATTTCAACCATATGTATGCATGGATGGGTGTCACCTCGTGCCCCTTCAGCCTGTCGACCTTGACAGGCGTCGGATGATTTCGAATCGGCTTATCCTTACAGGCTGAATGGCCCTGTAGTGCATACATACGCTAGGTACTACGCTTCGCTAAAAACACGTAGCGGGTAGCGCTAGTAGACTTTTCCAAAACAAGACCACACGAATCAGGGAGTAAGTAAGTACCCATCAGAACTTTAAGAAGGAATTGGGAGATGGCACGTGCCGCCGCGTTCAGGGGAAGTCTTCTCCCACTCGTGTGCCCGCTACCCGAAAAGCCCAACTTCTGATCCAAACCAGACAAGCGTCCGCTTTGGAAAATCATCTAGCTCTATGAGATACGATGATCATACAGCATGTTTATCCTTGAGATTCTGATTCTTCCGTCCATCAAATGCACACAATCTTTCAAAAGCCATCTTTGATTACCCTCGAATGTCTGTTCATCCGAGGTGGCATGGCAACGCCAATGTGTCGATCGCGATAATATCTTGACAAGCTTCTGTCAACTAGCGAATACCACCCACCTGTTTTTTCCTTCGGTTTTTATTTTTATTTTTTCTCATTTCTCTCTGAAATTATTTTTCTTCTTCTTTTTCTGCAATGTAACTCTGCTCAAGTGATTAGGTTTAACTAGCTGGAGTAAAAGCATGTCTGCTACAACTCCGTCCATTAGGTTACCTTAATGAACAAGATAGACAAGATGGATCATGCCTCTTTGTTTTCCCACAGGTTTCATTTCCTTCTGCCTGATGTCCACTTATACTTACAACTCAATTGATTGCTTCCATCAACTGCCGTTAAAACCCGAGAAGCGCTATTAGCTCGGATTGACACGTGATCTTCAGTTAATTCATGTTAACTTTGATCTTTACTAAAGTGCTACTTCTCGTGCAAAGTCACTTTATCACTCTAAAATCGGTAAAGGCTTCTTGAAGTCTGGAGACACAAAACAGATACAACCCGCTCGATACTCTGTCGAAGTGGACTACCTCAACAACGACAGTCCCCTGGAGTTTAAGCTCAAATGTCCTTGCCCGGAAAAGTTCCGTCTGGGCTTTTGATTTCCCTTATGCGCTTCGGCATGGATGTAAAGTTGCGGCAATTATTGTTGGTGGTAAATGAGCAACCGCATGGGCTAATGAGCATGTCACAGTCAATCACAACTTGCTCGACTTCACTACAGACCAACAGCAGATTATCCGACAACAGAAAACATACATATAAAAAGGCAACCCTCGAAAGCAACAAGGCAAGCCATATTCTAGTGTCAGGGCATCAGGCACTGCTATGTACCTCCTTGTTCGTCGCTCGGCCATGGCCAAGTTTCAGAGCCCATGGGCTGTGTCATATCATATTGGACATTAAATCGTTCAATTCAACAAAAAAATGGCCTTGCTTTCGGTTTTCCTTTCCTCAGCGCTTTCTCCTAGGTTAATTACTTCACTATTCCTTGGATTCACATCTGGCATCAAACCACTATGCCAACACTCCACTCAGAACTGAAATAGTTCTCAGGGATCCGCAAGGACTAGTTACGAAAATATGCTGTAGAATGAGGTGTCTGGTTCTTGTAAGACATCGTACAAACAGACCAGGGCATCTCGGAGAACCAGCGGAGGCTATGTGGACTCTCTGGTCGTCTTGAATCTTTCTTCCATTGCCGTTATGATGATCATAACAGAAACTTTCAAGCGAGCAATTCAATACATAATATGTAAAACGTTTTTGGAGCACAGTCGCTGGTTACACATGGTCAGTAACTAAGATTTGGTGTTCACTCGGGAGTTCCTGACGCTTCTGGGCAGCACGAACGAGGCTGCGTATCAAGTTCTGGCGTTGGTCGATCAAACAAGAGGTAGTAGCCCCATATCAATTTTTGTATATGTTACTGTAATGCAGTTTTATGATCGAAGAGTCTACGGCATTGGAGGGACATGAATCGAGTTCGATCATAGTTCGGTGGTTCTTGAAAGATAGCTGAGCCCGCTGGTGTGATCGGGCAGATCAATTTTGTAACAAAGACTCCTCGAAGCTACGATGAAGTTTGGAGTAGGAACTGTGGTAAATATCGACAAAACTATTGTAGTTCGTCCTAGTGATAGGAAATTGACGCGGATTAATTTAGACAAGTCCAATAACTTGATTACAAGGTAGCAAGGAGTTCGAGTATATTTCAATCTTTTGTTTCTCTCTCGGTTGTTTCCGAGCTCTTCTGGGCTCTTGCGTCATCAAAAGTCTTCCCCATGAAGCAGACTTCCATCGTTCTCTCATATTATTAGAGCCTAGCCCGGTGTTTCCTTATATAAACTTTCCCTTTGCTCAAGCCTCTGCACAGCACGAGCGCCAACGGACTAGCTTATTACATTTACTACTATGTCCTTTATTCATAGGCCTCTTTGTACCCAAAACTGCCGAGAACGCTCTTTGCTGACTTGATGATTTTGTCTAAAACAGAAAGTTACAGGAAACGAGAATTTGCCGAACCTGTTTGGGACCATGTTTTGTACCTGCTCCTTGCCATATGTGGGATGTCGGAACTCGTATCATACCATCACTGATGAGATCTGAGAAACGAACTGGGGGCTTGGAGATAAATATGGTGATGTAGGTGGTTAAAATAGCGCCCGTCTGTCCATGTTTATCCCGACAGCCTCACCGCTGCAACCAGTACGGTCCTTAGCTTCATTTGACTAATCATATTCGTCTGCTTTCAAGTTCACCTACAACTTTCGGTCTTTCAAGATGCTTACCACATAATTCTAAGCTTCGCTCTTGTAGCCTCGATTTTCTCCATTCAGGCCGCCCTGGTCATACGATTGATCGTCAGCCTCCCCAGCGTAGCAGTCAGCGGCTCCAAGCAAATGACATGGTGCGGAAACCGAGTGAGGGCGTGAATAAGAGATCACAAGAGAGAGGAAGGCAAATATAATTATTTACTCGACGCGTTGTGGATCTACTTCCCCGGCTACAGGGGCTATAACTGCGAAGGTGCCATGTCACAGATATCCGTAGCAAGTTCTGCGATGAACAAGCACACTGAAGAACCTGGTGCGGTCTCCCAAGGTGATTTACGACAGAACTGGGAAGATATCATTTTATTCTTCATCGGAATTGGGAACAAAAGTCATATGGATAACAAAGAGTCCGTAGAGAAAGTCGCCTTCAGGGCTGTTTGGCCTGATTCAATGCAAGCGTTTCTACTCTAAAGCCATGTAACTTTAGCTTTTTCTTGATTCTTTACTATCTTAGATTCTCATCCCAAGAAAACTACTCCGGTTTCCCGTATATACCTCCGTGGAACGGCCTTCAATCTTTGGTGCTACTTATTTATCGGCACTTGTCTTCGAAGATCACGATTGTTGGAATGGGAAGGATCGAGGCAACAAGTTGAGGTATCCCACTTCACTTTACGGCTACCCATTTTAGCATAGCACAACCAACAAGCAATATCACCACTTTGGCTGTGACCGTTTCTATTGCCAGATGCTCAAGTATTCCCTTTTCCCCCTGTGAAACCAACAGTTATCAATAACCACATGTAGATATAGACCTGCATGTATCCGTGGAAATTCAAGGTACGAGAACCTTATTTTATTCCAAAACGGTTTCTACTAGGCCATATGAACCAGACATGGAAGCCTCGCCAGCCATGATCTCACTAGCAAAAGCATACCTATCAACCAGTGATCTCTTCTCGTGTGGGAGGAACGGTAAAGAGCAACCCGAAGGCAATTAAATTCAGACCACATCTCCAGCCATTTTTTCTCTCGTTATTATGCACGATCTTCATTCGTCATAAGGGCGAACCTTCGTGGTGTCGCAATGATGAGCATGGTTACCTTAACCAAAACCTAACAGAGCAAAGGTCACAAGCCCCAATGCAAACAGAAGCCATAATGTTACACTAAAATCAGGTGTTAGTCGTCTCAAAACATAACACAACCCTCCTTAACATCCATTATACCATCCAGGATTCCCAGTAAAATCCCGCAGGATAATGCAATAGAATGCTTTCCTCGCTTTAACGCCGTCTAAAAGCCTGATGAGCTCACAATACCAATAGCACATACAAATCATTCAAATATTAAAAAAGACATAAAAAAAGGATGCGATAGTATAATACGATCAGCCGGTAATCAAAGCTTGAACACAACAAATTGAAATGTGCATTGCTAGCTCCAAAATCGGTTCAGAGGGCATCTCAAACATTCACAGTATAGCCATATATTTTCATCAAGAACTGCTTATTGATTCATATGTACGTTCTTACTAGGTATGATTTAGGAGTAACACATTCTTCCTCCCCATTGCTGTTTTGTCGCCTACGACAGAGCTGATTCTAAAGGCCTTTTAGACGGCTTTGGCAGTTCTGCAAAACATAAAGCGCCACACTCGAGCCAATTCAAGACCAGTCCCATCTCCAGGAGACGTCAGTGATGCGTACAATTTGATGCATTCATTTCTGTT